ATTGTAACGACTGTTGCTACTTCAGATGTTTTGTATCTCGAACTTTCTGTACATCGTTTACGTTTAAATAACGACACCACGTTTCGTTAATTGTTCGTGCTCGTTTTGATGCAAGGTTTACAAACATCTGGTCAAGACACGATATTATGATGCATTGCAACAGTCGCCATTTTGGATTTGTTTCGGGTCGGTGTTTCTAGAGCGAAGCTGATTGTTTTTTTTTTTTTTTTCGATCTCAATTAGTTGAATTTTTTGTTATATATAGTGTATATATTTTCATAATAGTTTGTTATTCATTACCGAATTGTAAAAATTCGACAGCGAAAAATGTAGCATTGTTTTCTTTTTTAAATGATAGATCCACGAGAGTGATGATTTAAAGTTATTGTTTATTAACGACTATATACAGAAGAGCCAGATTAGTTAAAATTCAATAGTAATAAATTTTTGTTATGAATAATTGGAGAAACGTCGCCTTGAAGATATTTTGTCTCAAAGTGATATTTTATTTTTTGATAATGTACTGGACTTTCTTATTCTATATTAGTACATTAAGAANCTCACTAACGATAATTTATGATCGCCGGAAGGGCTATTGCGTCGTAAGGTGTTTTCCTGAATGAACTGATACGGGATACATTCATTGGCGCTATGGATTCGGACGCCATTTATTGGACTATTAAGTTTAATATTTTGACTCGTGGGTACCTAAACGTTTAGTATTTTAATATTAATTTAACGCAAATGTATATATACCCAATAATATTAAACAGAAAAAATAAATATATTCAATAAAAATCTTTGTTTTAACGAATGCACAATGTCGCGGCTCTGTAAATACGTCAACACTGAAATGAAAATCAGTCTAGCATAGCGAAAATCGGGGAATTATACCTCGAAACGGCGAATTGCGCAGCAGCGTTATTGTGAATCGGCGTAAATTGAACCGGCGTAAATCGAGGGCTACCTGTAAATAGGAGTTGGAGTCGGCGGATTTTTTGACGACTCCGACTCCGGCTAAAACACCTAAACTCCATGAATCCGACCTCACAGCCCTGGTTGCATCACACATTGAAACATACCACTGACAACACGTGATGTAAACACGCTAGTCGTCTAACAGTTCAAATTTAGCTAGAGCCAGCATTTGCTGCTAGTCGGCGTCTCAATTGGGAGAAGAGCTTTTTTTCTTATTTTGGATATACTAGTTAAGACACGAGGTCTTAGACCGTGAGTAAAGACAGTGATTTCGACCTATTATAGTTGTTTTTTTTTTATTTTAAAACACCACAGAAAATTATTTTCCTTTTCTGGGTGGTGCTTTTTCTAGAAATAACATCAGTTACGCAAGATTGGTTCAGTACATTCAATAAAAAACATTCAAGTGAAATTTAGTGTTTATTTTATAATTATCATAGCTTTTATAAATTCATATTTTGATACAAATAATGCTATTTGCTGCACATACTATCATTTAGTGTGAACACGTTGCGTTTTCTGAAGTAACATTGTTAGTGAAATCGGAAAATACAGTATGAGGTTACTAACAGAGATTTCTTTTAAATATGTTATGTTAGATAAAAACGAAAATTTAGTATGTAAACTGATTTTATATTAACACTTAATATAAAATATTCGAAGTATTCATCATTTAATTAATTTTAATTAACCCTGTTTGAATGACATAAAAACATGGTTTTCAGATAAGTACAGTACTAGTCTATGTATGAACTGTTTGTAATAAAGTTCCAGTTTACTGACTTGTTGTATAAATTCACCATGTAAGTTATTAAACACAATAACAGAAACAATAGTTTAACAGATTTATTAAAGAGAATAAACGTTATAATATTGTTTGTAGACTAAAAACCTCTTATAAAATTTAAAAATATATACAATACAGTAATTGAAATTATATCATTTAGCCATTTAAAGTAATATTTTATAATAATTGTGAATAATGTAACATACTATAAATCGCATATTCTAATGAATAATTGGTTGCTAAATAATTTTTTATTGTAGAATTACAGAATAAATAAAGCTGAACTAGATATTTTGTATTTTTTTGTCTACTGTTAATGAATATATATGTATAAAAGTTTATTAAATTTTTTATAAAAATGATTAAGTTTTGTTCATGTACATATATGAGAAAGTTTTTAAATAAAGGAAGTTATTATCTTTTCCAAGTACGATACTTCGGAAGATTTACTTCATAAAGCATGTAAAGTTTGAGAATGGTTTTCCTTTTTTTTTCGTTTAACTTTAATATATAAAAATGTGTAATCTGAGCTTCTGGTTGTTGTTCTTGTAATGTAGAAAAGCATGTGAATATAGAAAAACTAAATAAACTTTTATTTTAACAAATTAAAAAAAAAAATTTAATTTTGCCTTTTAAAACTAAGTAAATTTATCCTTGTACTTTATTATACGAACCATTGATATAGCTTTTTATTTTGTAACTTTTTTTGTCAAAGCTTTTAATTATGTGTTGGAGTAACTTCTAAATTAAAATGTGCTTTATTTGAAATTAAAAAAGGAATTCTTCGGCTCGAATACGAAGGAACAGCGCGTAGATAGGATGAACCGTTACCTTTAAACTGCGGATTCGAAATCGCTGCTCTATTCGGGATATTGTTGTCTTGATTTTACGTTTATAGACTTTGTTTTGTTGCGCATACATCAGCGCCATGTCAGACGATTTTTAAATATACAGCTGTTTCAGGTATATTATCTTTTGTAATAGTAGACAATATGTAGGCATTTATGTGTAATGAACTTGCCAGTTAAATTATCTTTTCACCAATATTTATATACAGTTGTCCCTTGATAATCCGACAGGTATGGGACCAAAGGTGTGTCAGATTACCAAAAGTGTCCGGATTACCGAAAATAATTACATATTTGGCATTGTTTTGCTAGCAGTAACTTACAATATTCTCTACTCAAACTGTTCGAACAGAACTGCTCACATAAAACACACGAAATGTGTGTCATCGAGTAAGAATTGGATGGGGAGATTCACATCGCGACATGCTTCTGTGCAAGCAGACACGTNCACAATGAAGTGACTTTTCTTCAACACTAGGCAAGTTTCAATCTTTATTCAGTTAGAACGCTTTGCTATACATCTACGTTTCGGGCATTTGCCCCTCCTCAGCCAACTAAATATATATAAAATATTATATGGATACAACCGAACACAAATAAAAAACTAAAAAACGTACAAAAAATTTTTTGTGAAACATACCTCACTTCGATACAAACACCAAATATACAGTAGAACACCAGACGACCCATAGGTTTACATAACGTTTCCACCATAAATTCCGTTTTATTTTTACAATAACATAATTTGTTATCTTAATTTTTACTACATAAACAAAATAATTGATAAACTTTACAGATTTAAAATCTAAAAATTACAAATTTCAACTATTACCTAAAGTCGTACCATTCTTATCCGTTCTTTCAAGCGTATCTCATAAGCCTTTCCTGTCACACCATCAACTAGTTAGACGATTTGCATATATTACGATGTTCCGTGATTTAATGAGCTAACAGGTCAATCAATAAACATTTGTAAGCTTGGAGGAAAATATGAAAACTATTTTTTACATTAAAATAATTTTTAACATTAAAATAATTTTAATTAAACCATCTCAATATGACTATATTTCAATGTTAAATAATTTTCCAGACATCGTTAAATAGATTCTTAATTACGATCACCCAATGTCAGTATATTTAAATTTTACTAATTTTATTATTAATAATAACCGTCTTAAAAATCAAGTGACGACAACTTTGATTATATACATTATTTATTTATATTTGCAATAAGGCCGGATTGCCGAGCTTTTACGTGTGGAGAGGAAGAAATATCGCAAATACTGGAAAAGCTAAATTCGCAAATGTCAAACTGATGATATTTTTTTCTTGGTATTTTTTTAGATGCAATCACTCTTCAAGAGAACGGAGACACAAATTAATAGAAATGTGCCACCTTCATTTGTGGCTCAAACTTCGAACCAATAAGAAGAACGACGTTATATAATAGTTTAGAAAACGGAGGAGCTGGCTTATTGGAAGTCTCCCTGAAAACTTTAATTCAGAGAATGAAATTGATAAATAATTTGCACAAATACCGTATCTGGACAAGTTTAGCATTTCTCCAACCTTACATAGCAAATATAATCATAATTACTGAGAAGATACACAGACTAAGACCACCAACAATACTGCTTGAAATTGTACGATGCTACAGAACAATAAAGGAAAATTTTTCCGACGAAATCATCTTTACATCAACACCAAAGGAGCTTTATTATAAAGTAATAGATAGATTTATTCCGAAACCCCAAAACCGTATAAATCAATTCAATCTGAAAAGTAAAAATATAATTAAAATCATTTCAAAACTAAATATCCCTAATAAAGCGAAAACTATCTTTTGGAAACTTCATCATAACTGCCTACAGACAAACGAATGGAGAAAGTAGAAAAAACTGACAAATTGCACAGACTGCTCCATATGCTACAACAAAGAAACGCTCGAACGCGCCATTATGGATTGCAAACACAAGAACCTACTCTAGACAGCATTAAGTAACAAATGTTCTCTAACACGAACGCACAATACAAAAGACATCAAATGGCCTTGTGAGTATACAGAGACTAAACATCAACTAACAATTCTAATCATCGCGATCAACGCAATCTGTAATGCTGTTGTAAACTATTTTGAATGTAACTATGTAACTATTTTATAACCAACTATTTTGGTAAAACTATAACACTGTTCTTAGAAAGACAAATTATATCTGTATGAATAATATATTGTTTCGATAATAAAAATTATTTATTTAAAAAAAAAACAAACAACTATTATAGGGTCGAAATCGCTGTCTTCACCAGTATATCCAAAGCAAGAAAAAAAGTTCTTCTGCCAACCAAGGCGCCGACTAGCGGCAAATACTGGCTCTAGCTAAGTTTAAACTGTTAGCCGACCAGCGTGTTTACATCACGTGTTGTCAATGGTATGTTTCGATGTGTGATGCAACAGTTGTCTGGGTTATCGATGTGACGTAATAGAGGAATTTCCAGAAGCGTCAGAGAACGTCATTTTCAGAGAAGTAGAGTAAGTGTGCGAGTAAGTTATATATTTAATAACAACTCGAGATTTGTATAATTCAGATTAGAAAATAAAGCATGGACATACCCCCGCCTTCGTATAGTCAAGCAACTAATCAACATTCTTCTCTCGGAGGAAGCTTGACTTTTATAGATTTCGTACCAAATATTATTGAACAGGGATTTTTCTCTTCAGAATATGAATCTTTTGGGTGAGTATATTGATATTTTTAATTATAGATAATCGTTGTTGCCCTAGTTAAATTTAATTAAATACAGAGTGCAGTCACTAATCTGGATCTTAATAACCTGGCCTCTCAATGATCCGGCATATTCCTCTAGTTATGAGCTTTGGTTTCCACGAAAATGTTAATCATGTTATATGTCATATTTTCCTGTTTTCTGGAGTTTCATTCATTTTCTGTACAAGTTTGTCTTTTCCTTGTTTTTTTAACAAGGAAGAGACAAACATAGAAACACAATAAAATACTCTTTCGCCCTCCTGTTGCCTCTTGACTTTACTTGTTCACAAAGCCAGAACACCTTGTTACAAAAAAATGCACTTTTCGTCCCTTGACTTCCTTTATATCAGCGTTTCTCAAAGTGGGCGATAACGCCCCCTTGTGGGCGCTGGAGGCTTTCAGGGGGGGCAGTAGAAGGCTCAAAGAGAATTGGGGGGCGTTAAGGAAATATAGAGGGGCGACAGCAGACAAATTCTATATATAAAAATTCGATGGAATATATATAAAATGTTGACATTTTATATATTTTTTATTTTTTATTGAAGGTCACAACTTGAATATTTCTAACACATTGACTTNTGTTTGCTGGAATCAGAGATGAGCCGCCATGACGGTATACGTATCTGGACTTTAACCGGCAAATAGGCAATATCTATCATCCTAATTAATTTTTTTTTTTTTCATTTTTACAACCTTATCAGTAACTTTTTTTCTTCCTTAGTCAGTAACTTTCCTAATCAGTAACTTTCATTCAAAATCGTGACTTTGATCGCTATTTCCGACTGGCATCCTCTTAACACATAAGTACCAAAAAATTTAGGACTACATATGTTGGTATTACTAACATTTGGGACATACTGTGCCAAATATAGCATAGTAAATTTAAAAGCATATTTTGAAAACATTTGGAAATGTAATTAATTAAATTAGAAGTAAACTATTAAAAGTGAATCATTGTTGAGCAAAGTTTTAATATTTATTAAATTAAGTCTGCCTTTGGATCACCTATCCCATCATCATAGACTATCTGTGGTCTGTGGACCATAAGCTGAGAAATACTGCATTAGACAATTGAAATAATTTATAAATTTAAAATAGATTTGAATGTTATGACACAATATGAAAAGAACATTCCAAATGGAATAAAGGATAATGTAATTGAAGCAGGGTAGTCAAACTACTTGCAAACTGATGAAGAGCCCAGAAGGGGTTCGAAAACGTTTGTTATTTTGTTGTTGATCGTACCACACCATAAATTGGTTCAGTGTACATGATTTACTTGCAAACATTTGTCGTTTTGACTGTTTAATTGTTCACAATACAAAAAGTTATACTTAATAGGCATGTGCTGAGGTTTAATGAATTAATATGTCACCGAACAAAAGAGACTGAAAAGACCATGTTAATTATTTGTAAATGTAAAATACAATTGTCGACATAAGAGGTCAAATAGAAAGGTAAATATGATAATTTTATAGTGGGATACTCGACCAGACGGTCAAGTGGTTTAGGTGGCAGCCTACTGCTCTGGGAACATTAGATCAAATCTAGAAGGGTCAAAAAACCCCCAGAATTTTTCAGGGAGGGTCTGTCATCATCTGGTTGTCCCGTCATCATCTGGTTGTCCCATCATCATCTGGTTGTCCCATAATGAGCTTTCTAAAAAGAGTTTCATTGTGCTCACAGGGTAGAAAGAATTAAAAAAAAATTTGAATAGGTCATAAATTTAAATTTTATTGGTATGATATAGAAACACAAATAGAAATTAAATAAATATTTTTTTCATAATGAAGTTTTTATAGAATAGTTTATATAGTGTAATTTTTTACTACTTATTATACTTCTATGACATTACATAGAGTTAGTGTTTCAGAATAGATTAGATTTTTCTCTCTGTGATAGACATCCAGAGATTGCATTTCAATGATATGTAATTTTTCCAGTTACTGGTCTGTGTGCACATTTTATAAAGAGTCAGTTTTTCTGATAACATTTTCCTTCCTTGAATGCCCAGAGGCATTCTGGGATATTTCTGGTTCCTGAAGAAAGTTGCATTTCAAGTCAATCAACAGTGTAACTTATTTACTGTTGCCACTTTTTCAAAGCTATTCACCTGAACAAAACTGCAGAAAGAATAAAATAATAAATATTTTTGAAACTATTTACTTGGACATTATATAGATGAGCAACAGTAATGTCTACTGTATTTACTGCCATATAAGACAATCTCACATATAAGATGAGGTGTGACTTTAAAGATCAAAATTAAGAAAATTAGATTTATTAATACAATTCTAATTTTATTTCGTTTAATCACAAATAAAATATCAAATGCACGTAAATGCACACATTATTTTGCAAAAATTACTGGCATTTTAAACTTTAAGGAAAAATCTTGTAAAATCAACAACAATAATTTGTTCATGTAAAGCTGGATAATTATTGGGAACCTTTTTTGCAATTCTTAACAGTCAAATTGACTCTTTGTCGATTACACTTACGAGTTTCTCCGAATTCTGATTTCCAAATAATCATCTGTTTTCATGTGGGAATGGATTAAAACTTATATTGTGCTCCCGTGTGATTTTGAAATTTCAATTTGGAATTCAATTCAAAAGCTTTACTTTTCCTTTTGCAATTCATCTTTACTCTTGACAATACACAAGAATGACTCAAACAACTCAGATAAAATACTTTTGTTTTTAAACACAAGAAGGTGAGCTTCCTGTAAAAATATGCAAATACACGGTTCGCTTACTAAGATAAACGACTTCCAACAACTTAACACTGTGTTGAATAATAACAATCCACGAAAAACCTTTTTACGAGTGTTATGTCACTAGTAAATTCCACAAGTACTTTCAACCTCCACCAAGGTCTGCTTCAGGTGGTGACTGGCCGTGTTTCGACCCGACTGTCATAACGATGTTGCCAACGATGTAAATAAATAAATGTGCGCGTCGGGTTTCACCCCTCCGACTGACACTGTTCGAATTCCTCGAACAAATACTTCCACGCCTGTGCAAGCGTTTCCCCATCCTTGTAGTTGATGCAGTTGCCCCCCCCCCTGATAGCTTTATGAATCTCCCAGGCCTCCAGGTGATGGATGTGATCTGCACAGAACGCTTGTCTGATAAGTCTGGTGTTCCGGAAGTCCACCCTTATTTCAGGGTCGGTGACGTAGGTCGATAAGGCGGTGGTGTGTCTTTTATGTTTAATATCAGCTTGGTGTTCACGTATTCATTTCTGTGTTGACCGGATGGTGGAGCCAATATAAACTAAGTCCCTATTGAATCTGTCATCCCTGATGGGAATGGAGTAAACACCTGGGGCCCTGGTGAGATCCATCGCGTCCTTGGCGTTGCGCAGCAGGTTGTTTACTAGTGATATAACACTCGTAAAAAGGTTTTTCATGGATTGTTATAATACACGGTTCACAAAAATTATTGCAAAAATGCAAGTAATCCATCACTCACACGTATAGGACAACCTAGGTTTTTGAAGCAGTGAAAAATGAATAAAAACGTCATCTTATATATGAGTAAATACGGTATATATCCTAACCTGACATTCTGAAATGTCTTTCCTTGGAGCAAATTGTCTGAATGAAACATTGGACAGACCTGTGCAGAAATTTTCTTTATTTACTTTTATGTTCTTTTTAGCAGCAAGTTTAGAAATACTAACCTGTGACAATAATTTCAGATATAATCAGTAACCATAAGATATAACCATATTCAGTAAGTAACCAAATATGGTTATATCTTATGGTTACTGATATCTAAAATAGGTTAAAATTGGATGAAGGTCTGGGAATGCAGAGTAAGCATTTACAGGTTTGAGTCTCGTTTCAGGCCTATTCTTTTTTTCCAAAACCTAAATTACTTAGCATTTAATTAATAATAGTAGGAGTAATATAGCCTGATATAATCCAGTAATCATTTGGCTTTAGTAATCAAGTTAATTCTACAAATAATCAACTTCTTAAAAAATTTAGGACTACATATGTTGGTACTACTAACATTTGGGTTATACTGTGCCAAATATAGCATAGTAAATCTAAAAGCATATTTTGAAAAATTTGGAAATGTAATTAATTAAATTGGAAGTAAACTGTTAAAAGTGAATCATTGTTGAGCAAAGTTTTAATATTTATTAAACTAAGTCCGCCTTTGGGTCACCTGTCCCATCATCATAGACTATCTGTGGTCTGTCGACCATAAGCTGAAAAATACTGCATTAGACAATGAAATAATTTATAAATTTAAAATAGATTTGAATGTTATGAAACAATACGAAAAGAACATTCCAAATGGAATAAAGGATAATGGATTTGAAGCAGGGTAATCAAACTACTTGCAAACATTTGTTGTTTTGACTGTTTACTTGTTCACAATACAAAAAGTTATACTTAATAGGCATGTGCTGAGGTTTAATGAATTAATATAAGTCACCAAACAAAAGAGACTTAAAAGACCATGTTAATTATTTGTGAATGTAAAATACAATTGTCGACATAAGAGGTCAAATAGAAAGGTAAATATGATAATTTTATAGTGGGATATGCAACCAGATGGTCAAGTGGTTTAGGTGGCAGCCTACTGCTCTGGAAACATTACATAAAATCTAGAAGGGTCAAAAAACCCCCAGCATTTTTCATTGAGGGTCTGTCTCTCATCATCTGGTTGCCTCCATTGTAGACCTGGGTTAACCCATAATGGGCTTTCTGAAAAGAGTTTCATTGTGCTCACAGGGTAGAAAAAATTTTAAAAAATTTGAATAGGTCATAAATTTAAATTTTATTGGTATGATATAGAAACATAAATAGAAATTAAATAAATATCCTTTCATAATGAAGTTTTTATAAGAATAGTTTATATACTGTAATTTTTTACTACTTATTATACTTCTTATAAAGTTTCATAAAAATTATGATTATTACCTGCTTCTTTTGGAGTATTGTAATCTATAACAAAGCACCTTTTTGATGCTTCTTGTCCATCTTTATTTGGAACATTGGAAGCTTTGTTTTTATTCTGAAAATGTGTGAGGTGCGGAGTGTCTGAAATTGCTAATTAATTTATTTTGCTGTTTGAATTGAAAAGATAAATAAGAAAAATAAGTTACTAATTTGTTTTAATTAAATTGTTAAATATAGACACTTTTATTTATTCTGAAACAGAAGTCTTATTGATAAAGCAAATGCTTGGCTGAGTGAGAATCCACTATATGAAGTGAAAACATGTGAAAGTGTGGAATTTAAATCCAAGCAAGGAATGCCTTCAGTTGAGAAAATGACTTATTTGGAATATGGCAAAATGTACACATATTATATGAGAGCCTTGAGGTAAATATAAAAGTTGATATGGTTTTAGTTAAATAAGAATTTCAGATATTAACTTAAATTTCTAAAATAGCTTAAATTTTATATAGTAATCATTTAATAAAAAGTATGTAAGAAATTTTTTTAATAAAAATGTCTATAAAACTTAATAGATTCTCTTAATTAAACAGTGTTACTTGTGTATATATATATATATATANCCTAAGCAAATTATTTTTTATTTTCCATTGAACTACAAATATATTTCGGGTTGGTATAATGTATTCCAACCCCTCCTCAGTGCTAGTTCAAATAAACAAGAAATATTAAAAACATGACAATGTTATACCATAGAAACAAACTAAATTATAAAAAACACTTAAATTTCAACATTATGTAAATTACAAAAAATTCTTTTTTGTTTTCAAAATAGGGATTGGGAGGGAAATTCTTCCTCATTCTTAACCTGTATTTAAACATAAAATTGTGCATTCCGTATTAATATACATTTAAAATTAAACAACCATAACAACAAACAAACTTCCATTATACAATCATTTAAATTTTTTATACATGGGTATATAACAGACGTAATAAAAAATTGTTAACNTGCTGCATATTATTACCTATGTTTTATAAGTCTCTACTTGTTAGTTCATGTAATATCTGTGTATTGTGTTTGCGCATCATTGAACAGCGAAGCACTCGCTGAAAGTAAGTATCACTCATCGCACTTTAGTTTATTTTTTATTTCATCTTTAGAAATAAAATACAGTGGTACCTCAGGATACGAAATTAATTTGTTCTGAAACTGAGATCGTATCATGAAAATGTCGTAAGATGAATCATTTTCCCCCATACGATTACATGTAAAACCAAATAATTCGTTCCAACACCAAAACACACTCAAATTAAAGCTAAGTAGTACAGTAGATTAAAAAAAGTATAGTAAGAAAAACACTGAAAAATGCAATTTGTAGTTCTAAATATATAAATAACCATAATAGAATAATAATTGATTAAAAAAAAATGTAGTTTTATTTGCACTTTACCTTTGAGGATAGACGACAGTGGAGGTGTAACTGGTGGCAGAGAGAGGGAGAAGGGAAATGATACTAAAAACTTAACTTACATAACATAATGTAACAATAACTTAAAAATAACTTATAAAATAACACTAATTTTTTTATTTATTTTTTTCTTTTTTAATTTTTATTCACTGCTTTTTGCTTTCCTTCCTTCACTTCCACCAGCACTTTCACTGGATAGAGGTTGCTTGGTAAAATATCTATCCAAAGAGGTTTGGCTTTGCCTACTTTTTAAAATGTTTCTAAAATGACTTAGGCAAATGTCATTACTCCGAGCAGCAATACGGCCAGTGTGAATCTTTTCGGGGTGTTTCTTTTCAATAAAATCAGTCACTTTCTGATAATACCTGAAGATTTCCTTTATCGAGCGAGATCCTTCCACGACGAAGCAAACATGCAGACTGAGACCAATGAACAGAAGTAAATAAAAAATGGCGCTGTGAACTAATGTAACGTCGTATGGTGAGTTTTTGTTCGTATCGTGGAGCAAAAATATGTTCGAATTTCATATCGTATCCTGAAAATTTCGTATGCTGGGGCGTTCGTATCCTGAGGTACCACTGTAGTATTTTTTTTCGTAATCATTAAAACTCCCAATGAAACGCTTTATTTTACTTTCATCTTATAATGTAGGAGAACATAAATTAATTGAGCCTAACGTGTCAGTATGGGTGAGATTGGCCCTACACTTTTAGTTACTTACTAGAAAGTAAATTAAATTATTCAAATTTATGATATTCCCGTATGATCTTTCTTATCCATATAAAATTCTATTTTACTATCTCATCCCGGGAAAGAAATTATTTTTCACGTAATCCCGCTGGAGGCAAATTTTTCGAGAAATGACAAACCCTAGCCGAAACGCATCTCGCTTTCCTGCAAAACATCTTTGTGCTTTCTTTAAGTCGCTAGAATGGATAAGAATTGCGTCGGACACCGAATCGACGAGTGCTGGCTGTGACGAAGGCCGAACAGCGCAAAAACTATACGCGAAAGCCGGGCGCCCAGCCCAACTAATCGGCCGATAGAGAAAGACAATTTAAAAAAGAAATTTCACCTTCCCCAGGTGAGGCTCGAACTCACAACCCCGGCATAACTCACAAGTACTGCTTATAAGTACCGTGCGCTAACCAATTGCGCCACTGGGGACTGGATTTTCTCACATCCGTTAACAATTACCAACATTCTCATTTGCGAACGTGAAACGATCCCGAACGACGCTCGTCATAAACCGACTCGTAATTAACCTTTCACTTAGCGTCCGTGTGGTTTGTGCGTTTCGCTTTCGGCAAAGGTCAGACTCGCTTTCGGAAATAGAAAGCAAAAAACAACGCACCTAGAAACGAACAAACGTCTCGTTAAAATTAGTGAAGTTTAGAAACAAGTGGACAGAGCTTCTTAGTATGGAATAATTTCGTCGACGAAATTCGCAACTGTCGAATTACGAGCAAAACAAACATTTCTCGACGACTTATTTCTCTTGCACAAACTGTAAACGCAGTGATGCATCGTCAGCAGGTTCAGTCAGTAAAAATAAGTTTGCGTTTCACTTGTGGCTACCGAACGAAGAAAGTGGCCTCCTACTTTCTGAATATTTCGCCGAACACACATGGAGTTTTCCTGGCTCAAAGTTACATGCTTAAGACGACGTTCTACGTGCAATTTGCATTCTATACAGTGTATATGTTGATTTGCGCAATGTAGATAATAAAAGTGGTGTGAACGCTTTGTAAGAAGTTAAAGAGAAAATCAAATTTATTATCACCGGAGAGGAAATCGTTTAGTCGTAACAAAAGAACAATGAACCATTTGTTATTACGCGTATTTTTCATACTACAGCACGGAGTTTCATGCACCAGACGCAATTGTCAGAAAAGTGTAAGCCCGGCTACGTCTACATTCGTAAAAATGATTATTAAGCTTCAAACAGGATGAACAAAATCTTGCCACCCCGCACACACTAACATCCATACATATAAAAAACCCTTAATTTTTTTTGCGTTTCTCGACGTTTCAAGGTCTCGTGAGTCCAAAAATATAAAAATTTCGGGAAGGGGGTCATTTTTGATCGCCATACTTTCCTTCTGATATGTATAACTGCCGGGAAAGTAATATTGTACGCGCAATGTAATAATACTGTATATATAAAAAAAAAATTAACAGTTGTATTGGCTTCTTGAAAACTCTTTTCTCAGTGAAGAGCTAAAGTACTTTTTATCTGATGTATTACTGTACCTTTCTTTGAGGCAAGAGTGGATTTGGGCCACTGTGCTTTCTTTTTTAACTTTTTCCGCCCTGTGGGCACTAAAAGGGCTTCTTTTAACAACCGCATTATGGGTTCGGCCAGACCACAATGGAGCGCCGGGTGGTGAGAGACAGGACCATTTAGGTGTTAGACACGTAAAAAAACTCGGAATACTCCACGTATCCAGCTTGTTGACATTGGCCTATGCGAATCCACGACCAACTAACTACCAAAGTTTCAGTGGTTTATCCACTCGGCCACTGGTTGGTCTAATAGACGATTAGTTGGATAATGGCAATATTTCAAAAAAATGAGCGTTAAACAATTTTCATACTTTGCCATGTTTGCATGAGCCTTATGTCATATCACGTTTAACATACGTAATTTTCCCGAAATACATGCAAAAAAAAGTCATAATCTATTTAGCAGAATACGACTGCATTACGGTTTACCATCGCAGTATTTTTCTAATTGCGCTGCAATTTGAAAAAATTGTAGAAAAAACTGTTGTCCGTCCATCTGTCATTCCTTAATCTCAAGAAAGAAGTTAGATATATGAAAGATGAGATCAGATATAGAAACTTAGGAGCAGTAAGCCCCGATTAACTATATATGAACTTCTGATGAAAATCAAAAGTCACGCTATTTCAATTCAAAAATTTTCCCTTGAATACAGTTAATAGATGATCGCCATGACTCTATTGTTAAAGGAAAAGTATGGTGTACAGGGGAGGTCACTACAAATTTCAGGTGGCGAACGTATGTTTTAAATGAAATAAATGGAAAATATGATTAAAAATTGCAGCCCGGTATTGTGACGATGTCACAAGAAGTAATTGCTTATTTCATTGTAATAAATTACTTTCACTTTTCTAATGACATAAATAAATTGCTAATAATTCTTCAGAAACTTTTATTATTCAAGGACAAACAAAGTTAAGATTACGTACTGTACAGAAAATAAACAAGTTTCGCAAATATAGAGTTGTTTTTATTGATGATTCATAAAATATGTGAAGTGGCTTGATGTAGGATTAGTCAGTAAACTTGTTTATCTTTCTCTTTTTTATTATAACGAGATGTTACTAGGCATCAGTTTACAACAGACAAACAAGCAGAAAAAAAAGAGAGATAGAATTTCTCATTGAGATAAAATGTATTAATAATAATTATACATTAAAAAATACAAAAAGTGGCAAAGACTCTTGCACGACGTTCTCTGCACTCAAACAGGAGGTTAAGAGGACCAGGAATAAAGTGTGATAATTTTCAATTATACCGCAATATCAAATTTAAATCATAATAAAAGCTATGTTAAGTTATTCTCTTCAAAATAAACTAGACACTAAATGTACATCTTATTATGTAAAGAAGACTCATCTAATCCAAGTAAATAGAAACTATGACGGATAAAATTATCCTTTATTGAAAATTATGCATTTCAGATTGGATTTATGCCAATCCTTTAGGATATTTCTTCCAAAGGCTAATTTTATATAACTTAAGACATTTCGCTTTACCAAGTTCTAATTTCATCACTTTATGTTGAAATAAAACCTTGGTGTATTTAAAATACATAACGGCTTGTTTTTAAAAATGTTGGACTGTCACTGATGAAAATTCTTTCACAATTTTCCTTTACTATTCTAAACTATTGATAGATTACATTCTAGGGCGGAAGGAAGTAATAAGAAA